AAAAAAAAAAAAAAAAAAAGCGCCCCATACTCAGCAGCTGCAGGAGCAGCGACTGAGGCCTCTGAGGGCTCATGGCAGAGCCTGCCTGCACAGCGTGGGGCAGTGGGGGGCAACAGGGGTCACCCCCCCACCCCCACTTGGCACCCACCCTTATGGCATGGGTGCAGCATGGCTCAGCAGGGCATTGCGTGCTGCCTGGGAGCTGGGGCTGAGCAGTGCCAGGCTCTGGCTGAATGCTGGAGCCACCCCAGCTCCCAGATAGCATGCAGTGTCCAGCTGAGCCATGCTACACCCACACTACGGGGCAGCTGCTGCATGGGTGCCAAGTGGGGAGGGGGCGATCCCCACTTCCACACGCTGCACAGGGCGGCTCCCCCCACAACAGACTTACCAGCTGGAGGCAGCTGTCAGCTGCCTGTTTAGCCATGGCCGAACCTCCAAAAAAATCGGCTGAATCTTTTCTGAAATCTATTTGAAACATCTGAATCAGTTCAGAGCTTTTACTTGGCCTCCTGATTCGATTCAGATTCAGAGATTGGGTCCCCGAATCGGGCTGAATCTCCTCTGAATTGAATCAGCTACCGAAGCTTCGCACAGCCCTAAAAATTAGCACCATGTAAGAAACAAATTGTTTCTTCTGATAGTGTTTACAGAACATGAGGGCCAGGGTGAAATGCTGGCCTATATAAAGTCAGTGGAGAGTTTGGCCTTTGGAGAAGACAGAATTTTGCCTGAAGTGTTTCAGAATGGGCTGCTGCCAAAAGGAAACAACTGGGCCTCCACCTGCAAAGTAAATGGTCTCAGGAAATAGCTGCTGGCAATGTGAAAATGAAAATATGGCTCTCACAGCCAGAACTATTGTTTGGAGGCATTTCAGACATATCCTGCTTGAGTGATATACAGCACAGCCCAAACAGCTGGCTTTCACACATGGCAACAAGCAGCAGGAAGTTGGGCTGAGCTTGGCGAGAATGTGTTTGAGCTGTTTTCCTGCTGCAATGCAGAGTGCCTTGCTTCTATGAGAAAAAGTTAAGTTTTAGACCACAGATAGAAAAAAAACCTGCACCACCCCTCCCACCACGTTGCCAGCACAATTCATTGCTGTGCTCACACTCAAGGATGCATGGGGTCACCGTGTTTTTGTTGTGGGCTAGGCCTTCGCAATTCAAGTCTGTGGGCTATGCTGTCAAATACTGAGCAGGGTGTGGTCCCTGCAAGAGGGAAGCAGCAAAAAAGGCATCCTGCTAGGAACAATGAGATTGGACATACCCCACATTTGGCATGTTAGACACATCAAGAATTTGGTTTCATCTGCCCATTATAGAGCTTTAAGACCAATTAATGTTACTATGCACATCCCAGGCAGGAGATAGTCTGAGGTGCCACCCTGTCCTAACTGGTTTGGAGAGGTATGAGCTTCCATAAGCAACCACCTATTTTGTCAGACACTATTAAGAGGATTGGCAGAATGGATAGATAGATAAAAGAGGTAATAAAACAGGTCACTAGATCCTTTTGAGATGAACAAGACCCCCTTCATCAACATGGACCATACAATTCTTGAACCAAGCAACACAAGTTATAAAACACCCAGGATTTATTCACTTCTCTTTCACCAACATGATATACGCTATCACCTGCTTCCAGCGCCTCTCTGCTGTCTGCCTTGGCCAGACAGGGAAAGACCTACATAAAAGTATGACTGAACACTGATTCAACATCAACTCCAAAAACAAACATCACCAATCACAGAATTGCTGTCCTTAAGCAAGAACCATTACAAATCAACTGGAATGTGAAACTGCAGAACAAGACATTATCCACAAACTGGATGGTATTAACCATGGTGTCAATAGGAACTATGGATATTGATCCCATTACCTGGACTGGCTAAGACCTCCAGTTTCCCTCCAGATGTCAACTGCCTTTTCATTTATTACATCCCTTAGCAGTGTGCTCTACCCGTTGCTTTGCCTTGTGTGCAAAATCTTCTTTCTGCCAGCCCATTCATAGCATCTGATGCAGTAGGTTACTGCCTACAAAAAACGCACAACTCTGAACCAGTTAGATGCCACCCTGTCTTACCATCTGCCTAATGTCAGACTCATACAGCTAAAACACCTTTATGCACATCCCAGGAACCAGGAATGACCAGACCAGAGAAGAGGCCCGTCTAGTCAAGCCAGTGCCAGTCACCTGCTTCTCAGGAAAGCACAAATAATTTTATTTCATTAAGTTTAGAATAGCCAAGCTGCAGGATACATCTCTTCCTACTTACAGCAGTGACTGGCTGGCTTGTGCTCTTTAAGAACCTAGCACCCTCTCAAATGAAACTGAAGATGCTCTCATTCATATAAATGTTTTATTTCCAAAACCTCCTTGGCGTTTGGGCCTCATGATATTCAGTGCCCGTTTTTTAACAAGCCTGATCTTCTTGCTCTTCACTTCTGGAAATCTTTCTGGACTTCCAATCTTGCTTCTGAGCTCCAATTTAAGCTCTCTTTTTTTTTGTATAGGGTGACAAGTAGGGTTGTGTGAAGCTTCAGTCCCTGATTCGATTTGGTGGAGATTCAGCCCGATTCGGTGGCCAAATCTCTGAATCGAAGCAGGAGACCCTTTAATCTCTCCAAATCGAATCGGAACCCTCCGAATCGATTCGGAGCTTCAGAAAGATTTGGCTATTCAGACACAGACACAGCTTTAAAAGTTTTTTCTGCATACCTCCAGCTAGCAGGCGGCTCGTGAGTGCTGTGATGGTGGGGAGCACGGAGCGTCCCACAGGAGCGTGAGGAGCTCTCCAGTGCGCTCAGCAGCAGATCCAGAAGTGGGCCAGAAGCACTTCTGGTCCATTTCTGGGTCTGCCAGGGGGCACGCAGGGGGGCACCCTGTGCTCCCCTGGCTTGGCAGCTGGTGACTCCTGGTCTGGGGGGCACCCGGGGTCCCCCCTATGGCCGATTGCCAAGCCAGGGGGGCATGGGGACCCCATGCGTGCTCCTTGGCAGACCCAGAAGTCAACTGAAAATACTTTATCAGTGCTTCATGCCCATCTTCTGAAAGGTACCTCTTCGGTCCAATCACCCAACTGGAGTCCTTGAGGACAATGGTAGCTGCTAAGTTCTTGGTACTTGGAAATCAGATCACTGGCTTAAGAATGCAGAGTATGAGCTTCAACACTGGGTCTCCATTTTTAAGAACTCCTCTCTAAGTTTTCAGTGCAAAGCAAATGCAAGATGGCTGCACAACAGCCTCCTGCCATAACAACCAGATTTGGACAAGATGGGTCTAGAGGACAAGATGTGAGCTTAGACCCTGGAAAACCTGGGTTCAAATCCCTCCTCTGTCAAGCTCCCTGTACGACTGTGGGGAAGTTTTTTACCACCTCTCTCTGCCTCTGTTTCTATTCTGTACACAGCACTGCCTAACTTCACAGATACATTTTGAAGGTGTGTGTGAAAGATTATGGAGGTGCTCAGATATTAAGTCAGGGCTAGGCAACCTTTTTTGCTGGAGTCAAAAAATCTGCAATGTCTACCTTGTAAGGTGCCAAAGTGCTACTGAGCCAGAAAAACAAAACTAGGGTGGGAGGTACATGGCAGGACACACCGCATATTAATATAGTTAATAATCATAAATGTTGTTTTTTTAAAAACAGTAGATACCAGGTTTTATAAAAATTCTAAACCTGGTGATGATAAATAGAACTTCATATACTGCCTTTGTTGTTGTGTATACTTTTTTTTTTTGAAAGAAAGAGGGACAGCATAGAAAAAGAGAGAAGAGAAAGAAAAGAGAGAAACAAGTAGGAGAGAAAAAAAGGAGAGAGAACCAGACACACACACATCCCCCTCCCAGAACCAGACACACACGCACATGTGTACACAGACACACACACAACACCAAACAGGTGTGCACAGAGCCAAGCACATGCACACACACCAAGCCAGACAGACACATACGTACGCGCGTGCAGTCGCTGCCAGCATGGAGCTGATGCCAGGGCTCTAGAGCCCCAGCACCAGCTCCGCGCTGGTGGCGATTGCATTTGCACCTCAGATCGAATGGTGGGGAGGGCCCTGGGGTTGCGCTGCCTTGGGTCCCTCCCCTGTTGTCTGCCCAGAAGGGTGTACTCAGCCGTTGCTAGCACAAGGCCTGGCTGGGGCTCTGGAGTACACAGGGGTGGCACTGGGGGGAGGTTTTGGGGCCTATAGCCACCCCACCCCCACAGCCACCCCAGCAGCGCCAGCCAGGCCACCACCATGCGCAGCTGAGCCCACCCCACTCCCACCCGCAGTGCCGCCCTTCCTGAGCCCCCCACCGGGAAGAGGCTGGTGCCCCTCCTGCAGCTGACCCAGGCTCTGGGTAGCTGCTGCCAGCCATGGAGCTCTGGCTGCTTGCAACAGGGCTTCCAGCCTCCCAGCCAACTGCTGGGAGCAGCAGGGGATCCATGGTGTGTTGAGCAAAATGGCCTTGCATGCCATGCTGTGCCACGCATGCCAGGGGTTGCTGATGCCTGTATTAGGTTAAGGAAATCGTGCACACACCTCACAACATTTAGGCAGATTAAACCTGTTTAATCAGTTCTCACTAAATTCTTACAGCTAAAGCATCTTGTCTCTTAGAGAAAGTGCAACTGAAAAAGCCAGTCAGGAGCTTACAGGGGCTTCACCGGCCACTACACTGTAAAAGTCCCAAGATGGTACATTATACTGGAAAGTACACTCACCTGGTGGTCGTGTCAAACTCAAAGGGAAAAATGATGTCATTGCGATTGCAAATCTGACAGATGAAGCCTCTCTGGGTGCAGAGGTCACAGTTATAAACATGGTGGGAAGCAAACTGGATCAGTGATTGCAGAAACACTTCGAAGATACCGTCTGCAATCTGGGGCGTATGGAAACAAACAAAAACAAAACAAAACTTGGGACGCTGGTCTGCATAGGAGCAGGAGATGCTGCTTTTGGCAACAAGCTTTGTAAACACAGAAAGGTTAAGGCTGTGATTTTAAGACCTGGCTATGCTCTGATGGGATACTATGACTGCCTCCAAGCTGATCATCTTGGTGAGTCTTCAGAGCACTTTTTTGCGGGTTGCAAGTAAAAAGGCTGTGTGGCCTACATATCATCAGCTAGGGCAGTGAGTCAGCCCAAGTTCTCTCTAGCTTGTCTCTCATCTGCCCTGCAAGCCCTCCCTTCTGAATGTGTATCACCCCTTCTGTCCTGCCTGTACATGTGGCCACTGGGGAGACAACAGTTCAGCTACATGAAGTTGACATAAGGTCCCAAAAATATGATCACTCAGATGCTGCAGTGACTTCATTCTCCCTGCATGAGTTTCACCCCTGAGCACAACGTCAACACGAGAACGACCTACTAAGAAATTTCCACTTCAGCCTTGTTTGGGAGTACATGTGGGGCTTAACTTCTGTAAAGCCTTATGCTGCCTGAATCTCAGCAACTCATTAAGATAAGGATGTAGCCAGCAGCATCAACCAAGACATGACAATTGATGTAGGTGGGCAGTGACCCCTCTAGGGGGCATAGCAGGGATAGCAGTAGCCCTAGTCAACCCTTTGTTAAAAAAGTTGGCATTCGGGAGTCCCTTTTCAATCCCCATGTGCATCTTTTGATGTCAGAAGCCAAAAGCACATGTGTCTGGGAAGGTGACTATAACCACTTCTCCCTGATGCTGTCCAAGCCACCAGAGAAACAGTACCATCTTGTCCAAAAGGACCTGGATGTTTACGTTGCTTGGAAGCTACAGCTAGTGAAAAATGTAGTTATGCTCTTGGCTTGGAGGTCAAGCAGCATATGGCCTCAATTCCCCAAAGCCTGCACTGTGGCTTTTTTTTGGGAACCTGGGTGAAATTCTAGTTATTAACTCTAAACTATATGGCCCTACACATTAGTTTCTGGCTACCTATCAGCTCCCCACTCTCACCACAGGTCCCAAAGCACAGGAGTCAGCTGGGGAGTTCTTGCTGACAACCTCTAGATTTGCTGGTACTAGAAACCAGAGTGATTATCACCTCTGGAACTTGCTACTCACACCAGCCTCCCAAAGCCAAATCTGCTGAGATGCAAGACACTGCATACAGGGCAGTTATTTGAGGCAGGATATGATAGAGGTCTATAAAATCATGAAGGGTATGGATCAAGTGATCTGCAAGTCCCAGAGTATTTGAAGTAGGGGACACCCACTGAAATTAGTAGGTAACAAGTTTAAAACAAGCAAGAGAATGTACTTTTTATGCAACATGTAGTTAACTTGTGCAATTCATTGTCACAGGAAGCAGTAGAGACGCATAGCACAGCCAGATTCAGAAAGGTATTGGATAAATCAGGGGTTGTCAACTGGGGGTACAAGTACCCCTGGGGGTACTTGGGCAGACCCTAGGGGGTACATGTGGGTGGGCAGGGATGGAGCACTGCCACCCACTACCCCACACCATTACCTCCCAGGAACAGGGCCGGGGGGAGGAAAGGGGAGAGGGCAGCGGCGTCCCTCTGCCACCCGTCTTCCTCCCTGCCCCCCATGTCCAGCTGCCAGGGGTACACTTATTAAAAAAGGATGAAAACCCCTGGGATAAATTGATGAAAAAATCTATTAATGGCTACTAAACAGAACAGCTGGAGACATTTCCCCTGGCATCTCTAATCTAAGTAAATAGTGGATGCCATGTAGCATACTGAATAGGGGATAGATCACTAGAGATACCTGGTTCGATGCTCTCCCTACATAGCATCCATTTCTGCCACTGCTAGAGACAGGATACTGGGCTAGATGGACCTTTGGTCTGACCTAGTATGGCACTTCTTATGTTCTTACTTTCTCATGATTTTCCATGGGAGGGCTCTGAAGTAAGAAGATCTGCGAGATGAACATTTCCACAAAAAAAAAGTTGACTATGGTTTGGGTCCTGTGTGCCTTACATGTCCAGAGGTGGCCCCCAGAAACAGAACTTCCCTCTCTTTTTGAAGGTATGTGGGACCTTCTCTATGGGATGTAGTCACAGAGGCAGGAAGTCTTTATCATGCTCAGGACCCAAACTATAACTTTCTCTCATCATTTTAGTCCAAAAGAGCAGAGTTTGATGCTCAGGCTACACTGTGAAGTCTGAGACATCCTTTATCTGCTTTGGTGAGCTGAGGAGGTGGTTTTGATTTGAGACTGGGAGTAATTCATATGTTGATGATGGATCAAAATGACATATAACAAACGTGTGGGCTTGGTGCAAAGTAAACACGGAAACAAACAACATATGCCTGTTCCCTATATAAAACACAGAAATCCCCCGTGAGTTTTTTTATATGCTCTGAGCAAAAGAAATAAAAAAGGTGCAGAGCTGTTTGAAATCCTTCTAAGCAGAAAAAAAAAAAAGTGCTTTCAGCTCCATCTGCACGCACAGAAATCAAAGCATTTTCATTCATGACAACAAAAAAATCCAAAGCTCTTACCTGCCTCAGATCAGTAACGCTGTATTTATGGGGGCATTCCAGGAGGTAATGCCTATGGTCAAGCCTTCACAGAAACACAAACAAAACAAAATATCAGACAGATGTCATCAGATCTGAAACAGCACTGAAGTTGGAAACAGAACAGATGGTGTGGACTCTGAAGAGAACTCCTGCGAATCTGATTTCACCATATAATAGAGTTAATTTCTGTTACCATTTCTAGCTTAAAAATCGTTTGAGAGTTGTTCAGAGGCAAAGTTGCATCTATTTTTTATTTGGGTATTTCCACTCAGACTAAAAGGTTGTCTTGGTTTGGGGTACTATTTTTTTTTCCATTCATAGTTGCTTAGGGTCGGAAGGGACCTGAGCAGATCAAAAAGTCCGACCTCCTGCCATGGCAGGAAAGAGTACTGGGGTCAAATGACCCCGGCAAGGTGATTGTCAAGCCTCCTCTTAAAGACCCCCAGGGTAGGAGCCAGCACCACATCTCTTGGAAGTTGGTTCCAGAGCCTAGCCACCCTGACAGTGAAGTAGCTCCTCCTGATGTCTAGTCTGACTCTACCCTCTGCCAGCTCGTGACCGTTATTTCTAGTCACTCCTAGTAGTGCTCTGGGGAACAGGGACTTCCCCCAATGCCTGCTGGTCCCCCGACTAGTTTGTAACGGGCCA